TCAAGCAGTGTTCTGTGAAGTTCAGATGCAGAACTCAAACCTCTTTTAAATCAATGGTCAAATCTGTCAAATTAAAAATGCCCATTTTCTGGACTAATAGGCAAAGAGTTGTCAGAAAAATAGTAAATGTCACTCTTACTGTAGCACATCCTACAGCAAGAATGAAAATAAAATGCATATACAGGTGAAACTCGAAAAATTAGAATATCCTGCAAAAGTAAATTTATTTCAGTAATGCAACTTAAAAGGTGAAACTAATATATGAGATAGACTCATTACATGCAAAGCAAGATAGTTCAAGCCGTGATTTTTCATAATTGTGATGATTATGGCTTGCAGCTCATGAAAACCCCAAATCCACAATCTCAGAAAATTAGAATATTACATGCAATCAATAAAACAACATTGTACATAGAAAAACATCGGGCCTCTGAAAAGTTTAAGCATGCATATGTACTCAGTACTTGGTTTGGGCCCCTTTTGCAGCAATTACTGCCTCAATGCGGCGTGGCATGGATGCTATCAGCCTGTGGCACTGCTGAGGTGTTATGGAAGACCAGTATGCTTCAATAGCGGCCTTCAGCTCTTCTGCATTGTTCAATCTCATGTCTCTCATCTTTCTCTTGGCAATGCCCCATAGATTCTCTATGGGGTTCAGGTCAGGCGAGTTTGCTGGCCAATCAAGCACAGTAATCCCATGGTCATTGAACCAGGTGTTGGTGCTTTTGGCAGTGTGGGCAGGTGCCAAGTCCTGCTGGAAAATGAAGTCAGCATCCCCATAAAGCTCTTCTGTGGAAGGAAGCATGAAGTGCTCCAAAATCTCCTGGTAGATGGCTGCATTGACCCTGGACTTAATGAAGCACAGTGGACCAACACCAGCAGATGACATGGCTCCCCCCAATCAACACAGACTGTGGAAACTTCACACCAACTTCTTCCTCTATATTCTGGGTCCTTGGTTTCCAAATGAGATGCAAACATTGCTCTCATCAGAAAAGAGGACTTTGGACCACTGAGCAACAGACCAGGTTTGTTTTTCGTTAGCCCAGGTAAGACGCCTCTGACGTTGTTTGTTGTTCACGAGCGGCCTGACAAGAGGAATACAACATTTGAAGCCCATGTCCAGGATCCGTCTGTGTGTGGTGGCTCTTGATGCACTGACTCCAGCCTCAATCCACTCCTTGTGAAAGTCCCCAACAATTTTGATTGGCCTTTTCCTGACAATCCTCTCCAGGCTGCGGTCATCCCTGCTGCTTGTGCACCTTTTTCTTCCACACTTTTCTCTTCCACATAACTTTCTATTGATGTGCTTTGATACAGCACTTTGGGAACATCCAACTTCTTTTGCAACTACCTTTTGAGGCTTTCCCTCCTTATGGAGGGTGTCAGTGATGGTTTTCTGCACAAATGACAGGTCAGCAGTCTTTCCCATGATTGTGATTCCTACTGAACCAGACTGAGAGACCATTTAAAGGCTCAGGAACCCTTTGCAGGTGTTATGGCTTAATTAGCTGATTAGAGTGGGACACTTTGAGCCTAGAATATTGCACCTTTTCACAATATTATAATTTTCTGAGATTGTGGATTTGGGGTTTTCATGAGCTGTAAGCCTTAATCATCACAATTATGACAAATCACGGCTTGAACTATCTTGCTTTGCATGTAATCAGTCTATCTCATATATTAGTTTCACCTTTTAAGTTGCATTACTGAAATAAATGAACTTTTGCACGATATTCTAATTTTTTGAGTTTCACCTGTAGTTTCCCAACCAAGAAGTGAATTTTAAGGGGGATTGAGGCTCCTCACAAAAAATAAAACGCGTGAGGTTCCACTGAAAATCTATACCAGACCCTTAACTCGAGCATGCAGCCTGGCTAGCCAGGAAGGGGGGAGTGATGGGAGTGTGTCCTCCCTCCCCTCTAAAACCATGCCGGGCAACATGCCGTCAACGGGGGGGGGGGGGGGGGTGTGGATATGAGAACAAGAGCTTCTCCCTCAAAAAACTAGCCTGCGGCTGTGGGGGTCTGCCCGCAGGTGGCTTTTGGAGTCTGGAAGCCCCCTTTAAAAATAAGGGTGCCCCAGATGCTGCCCCTCACAACAAAGACAAGTAACCTAGAAATAAAGATACCCAAAAGTTTGACAAGTCCTTTATTAAAAACAAATCCCCCAAAAAGTCCCTTTTTGTAAATCCATCATCAATCATGATGCCCACTGGCCACCAACTCACCTAGATTAAAACCCCATGCATATACTTTGATTATGTGGCTGGGGATTCCCCACCATGCAAGCCATGTGCAAGGGACAGTGACGTTACTAAGGACACGGCAACCACTTCCTTAAGAACCATTAACAATGGGTACAGAAGATCACTGGCTCCGGTCAAAGGGGAGAAAATATGCTCATTAGCTCATCCCCAGTAACTGCATATAATTGGGCAGATCTATTTTCTTAGGTGCACAGGCACTGGGCAGCACAGTGGCTAAATGGTTAGTACTCCTTCTTGGCAGTACTAGGGTCGTTGGTTCGAATCCCAACCACAGCACCACCTGCCTGGAGTTTGCATGATCTTCCCGTGCCTGTGTGGGTTTCCTCCGGGTACTCCAGTTTCCTCCCACACTCCAAAGACATGCTGATAGGTTACTTGAATCCTGTCTAAATTGGCCCCAGTATGTATATGTATGAATGTGAGTCAGGGACCTTAGATTGCACACCCCTTGAGGGCTAGGGACTGATGTTAATGTACAATATATATGTAAAGTGCTGCATAAATTGATGGCGCTATATAAGTACCTGAAATAAATAAATTACATTTCTAGTCTTATTGACAGACACAGCAGATTATGTTTGTAACTTATGTTTTTGAGGGTATTTTGTTTGACCTTACCAATCATGTTATACGTTAAAGTAACATTCTCTAAAATAAAAAGAAATTCCACCCAAACAAAATGTGCCATTTTGAGTGAAGCGGCACACACTAGGGGGTTGATTTACTAAAGGTAAAGAGGCTATTTGCTTTGCAAGGGACTTTTCCTTTAGCTTAGTGAATGAGTTAAATCTCTACTGACTCTCATCAATCAATCATGTGCAAGCAAAAATATTTTTTTCCTTGCTTGCGATTAGGTATTTTTTGCAAAGTGAATTTTCACTACATTCACTGAGCTAAGGGAAAATGTCCTTGCAAGGTGAAAAGTCTATTAACGTTTACTAAATCCACCTCTAAATTTTTAATACTGGAGATAATGGCAGCTTGGCTACTTTAGCCATTGTGGAAGTGGGTGAAAAGTCCCCTAAGCTGTAAAGACCCCATGGGGAATTTAGCCCCATCTGAAACAGGAAAAAATCCATTTTGACTATTGTTTAAAGTTTTAATAAAAAAAAAAAAGAGTGAAATATTGTGATAAATAATGTTTTGACTGTAATAATCCTGTAATTCTATAACTTCCAGATCCCTAGCTACCATAAAATAGAATTTATGACTTGCCCATATTTCTACATTTACTATCACAAAATTTGTGTTGTTTCGATTTGAATGTCTTTCACGCATGCTATACATGCCATCAGTTTGTAATATTTTACATTTATTTAGGTGTTGTTTTACATTGTAGGTAGGAAATATAAGGTTTCTACCCTGAAGCAGAAGTTTTATGCACTTCCTTGTCGACTTTAGAAAAGTAAATTTACAGTCACTAAATTTGTCATTCCCAGTAGGCCATATCTTTAGCCTTAGCCCCAAACTCTTAAAACCAGCTGAGGGTTTTTCAGGAAATGCTCTGAAGCTACTATAATGTTCACACTTTGGCATTCATTCCTACAAACATGTTGTCGCTGAGACTGGAATTTATAAAAGCAGATGTTCTGCTGCTCTTACAAAACAGAGACATTTCAGCAGCTCACTGAAAATCAGTTATTTTGTTGTCACAGGTACCATTTTTTACAAGAGAAATTCATTATAAAATATGTGTTACATCAGATACAATGCATAAGAGCAACAAATGACATATGTCATCTAATCTAGCAAGAAAGCAACATAGAAAGTAGATGGCCTCAAATTAACATAGGCTGTTTTCTTTTTCCTGATAAGACAATAATAGGTTAAATAACTTACCAATTGGACAATCTTGCTTATTACACATCTCCTTTTCTTTTGTATCGCCACCACACTTCTTCCCTCCATATTGTGGCTTAGGGTTATTACAAATACGTGACCTGTCTCGCAGACCTCCTCCACAGGTAACACTGCAGCTGGACCATGGTGACCAAGGACCCCATTTACCATTAACTAAAGTATTAAAAAAAAAAAACAGTGTGTTTTTAACCTATGGATGGTATGTTTATAATGATATTGTATATCAATAATGTTTGAAAAGATTAGTCAAAAAACTTTCCATTGCACAGCAAAATAACTTTTCTCTTACGTTCGGCATACATTGTAGAAGACTTTGCAGAATATGGATTACATAAGTGCATTTATGCAAAGGCCTCCCTGTGTTTGTGGTTTGGACTTTCTCTTAAGAACATCGAGGTAGCATACAATACAGATCCAGCTGGCTGGAACATTTCAGGCATTTAAAATTTCACTGTTCTTTCCTGCACAAACAAAGCATAATTCTCTGCCTGTGGGGAGATTGCCCGTCAAGTAGATATGCATGTTGAGTGAAAAAGGAATCTTCCAACATTTGTTTAGCTTTTCAAAAGGTCTGATCTTTTTAACATCTGTATATGACCTACTTCACTTCTTTTACTCAATTTGCCATTCTCTTGAAAACCTCAATGGCTTCTGCATGGCAGATGCATCTCAAATACTGTATGTGCACACACCCATGTACAGTGGCTTGAAAGCAGAGAGTAATGGACACTGAAAGTCTGAACAAATCCACCAGTTTAGAGGCCCTACCTCAGTGCTTTGTAACAAACTATTACTTTAAAAAAATATGATACCATTTTATAAACATACTTGGACATGGGATCCCTTCACATTCTTTTGTTTCCCGTCCAGTTCCAGTGCAGTTGTTTCCCCCTAACTGTGGCTTGGGGGAATTACAAAGACGAATACGGGTGATGTTGCCAATTCCACATGTTACAGAACAAGCTGACCATGGGGACCAATGACTCCAAGCACCATCTTGACGTACTTTAAAAACAACAGAAAATAGTATTATTTTAGCATTCAGTCACATGCCACTTATGACTACAATCATTAAACACTTACTGCGGTGGTCACATTTCCCAGGGTTGCATGTTCTAGTTTGGATAGAGGAGCCAACACAAGTACTACTGGTAGCATCACATGATCTTCCACGCTGTTGGGTTCCAGGGCCACAGGTTACAGAGCATTCTGTCCACTCAGACCACGGAGACCAACCAGCTTCATTATCTAATGCTGGAAGACAAGGATGCATGAAAGGAAAAATTATTTTTTAGAATAATACTATATAAAAAGGATATCTTAGCAAAGACTAAAAAAAAAATGACAGAAATAAAACATGAGCTCTGTCTCCTAAAACAGAAATATGTAACTTACGGAAACAGACAGGACAACACTCTCCTCCTTCAGTAAACGTTGGGCTGTCACAGTGCACAGTCGGACATGTAATCTGATGACAAACTGTTTTTGAGCTCTGTGTAGAGAGTGATAATTACGTGTTCAAAAAGGCTTCACAGCTTTCAGTGCTATACATAAAAATACAACTAAAATATCAATTCTTAGTGTATCCACAGCCAAAATATGGGTATAATTGTTCCACACACTTTTAAGGCAAAATAATACATTTTCTTAGAAATGGTGCATTATGTTCCAATACCCTAAGTAATATGTTCACTATCACACGAACCGCCAGTAATCTTATTTTGTGGCATAGTTACCTGACAAGTGCACTTGGTACAACTGTCTACAATCCAGTCTTCTTCATCAGCAAAGACACGTCCATCCTGCCAGCACACTGATTGGTTCTTTAGGGTTTTGTTGGGCCCAATCAGTTCCCACAGCTCCTGGTTTTCTTCAGACTGAAATGAATTGTGAATTAAGGGAAGTATTAATATTGTCTTCAACTTTAAAATTATATAACATAAAAACATTAAAAGGTAAAGGACAAGTTCACCTTTGGGACATGCTACATGTTCCACCCGTTTTTAGGGTGGAACATGTAACATATTCTCATAGCTGCAGCCGCGCCTGCCACCCCCCTCCCTGTGACAGATAGTACAGGGAGACTTTTCCCCGTACTATCTGTCAAACTTGAAAATAGCGTGGCCTTGCAGGGCTCCGCCTACACAGCCGCATCATTCATTCATGGACTTCCGAGAATGAATGAACTGCAAGTCCCAACAGCCGCTAAGGCTGTCAACTTGTAGTTTTCAATGAACTAGCACAGTGCTGTGGAGCGCCGTGGTTGTTCATTGAATCTTCCTGTTAGAATATCTACTTGGTTGTAAATCCTGTATGGGCAAGCAGATATTCTGGCAAGTCTGCAGGAGACCTGCATGGCATCAGCGATCTACTGATCGCTGGTGCAATGCTTTCCAGGCTCCTTTGGACAAAAATAATAAATGCACATTTGTTTACCTGCAAAAAAAATGTGTATTTATTATTTTTGTTCAAAAGGTGAAATTATCCTTTAAATTCAGACATTTAAAAATAAAATGTGCAGTTTTTCAATGTCATATTGGTAGAAGAAATATTCTAATAGGATAGATAAACAAATGCTAAACTTTTTGCAAACTGTGCTAGTATACTAGTTTACTGCCAAAGTACATAATTGCCACAACTTTCCATGGCTTTCTGCACACATACTCCAATATAAGTATGCTTTGCACTTATTCATTGTGTACTACATACTGTGTAAATAAATAAATAAATACATTTTATATATATATATATATATATATATATATATATAGTATATACACATACACACACCAATACTTTATTAAAACAGTTTTAAAGGCAATCTTTTAAAATAATATAATAAACATACTCACCTGCACCATCTCTTCTGGGGTTTCCAGTCGGTGATCTTGGCTCCTCCTTTTCTGTGTCTGCCCCCATAGCAAGTGCTGGCAGACATGTGGGCTCGATCCCAAGCCAGGTTATGTGTGTCCATAGACACAGAGTGCCTCAACCCTGCTCTATGCTCAGGATTTGATGATTGGATTGACAGCAGCATATATTTTTATATATATATATATATTATTTTTTTTTTAGTTTCTGTGATCAATTTAATATAAATGAAATGTGAACATATATTTACCACTTTTTGAAGGTTGTCAAGCAGGTTATTGACAACAACACGCAGTCCAGAGAGTTCGGTAAACATAGTGCTTAACTCATCACAAGATCTGTCACAGAAGTCTATCTGTCTGTCTTCTTTCTTCCCAACATATTCAGTGAGGGGGGATAGATGGATAATTTCTGTTTTTTCACTGATGGTATTGTCACCTAAGAAGATAAAAGGTTTTTAAGAGCCTGAAATTCAAAGTGTTTTCAGTGTTTAACAAGAAAGCTAACTGCCAGGGGTTGTAGGTGCAGAGTTATCTGTCAACCTGCATTAGTCTACAATTCAAGGGGTTTCCACTTTCTTGCTCAAAGTGTAAAACCCCTCTAATAATAAATGGTTTTGAATCAAAAAGAGGAAGAGATTGACATGCAAGGAACAAATCAGTTGTTCCTTGGAGAATGAGTGCAAAAGAACCAGCGCGTTGTTTTAACTTAAACTATTAATATCAATTATGTATCATAATTATGTATCAGTTATGTATGAACAATTGTAATTTATTTACGTAAAAAATGGGAAATTGTTTTTGCAATACAAGAAATCAGTAATATACTGTACATAATTAGTAAAATAAAATTAATTAGCAATAAAAAAGAGTGCACTGCCCCATTGCAAACAAGAATAATCACAATATCGAATGCACTTGTGTTGTTGGTTGCTGTTTTTTTTTTTTTTAGTTTGAATACTGGAGATGATACTCAGTAGTTTACAGTTCTGATTATATTTCTACTGAAACGTTTATGGAGGATCCTTGTTTAAATACAGCAGTTTCACTGAGAGTTATACTAAATTGCATCCAGGAATTAAATTGCAATTCTAACTGTAAGGGCTTGTTCATACTTGACTTTATTTCTAACTCTTGCCAAATGCCCCTATAGCGTTTGACAGGCGTTAGACAGGAGTTTGGGAAGCATTTTTACCGCTCCTCATATGCTCCCCAATTGCTCCCCAAACGCCCCATGCGCGGTTTTGAGGCGGTTGATAGGCGTTTGCCAAGCGTTAAAAACCGCACCACAAACGCCTATAATGAAGTTAAATGGTATTAACACTCCGCATCCGCCTCGCAACCGCACCACAAACACCTGCCAGGCATTGGTGGAGCGGCACCATAGACTTGAATGGGAGGCTTCAACTCCTCCTGACTCGACATGAAGCGTCAGTTTTGCTGTGACGCAACGCTAACGCTTCAGTGTGAACAGCACTGTGTGCTGCCATGTGCAGAAATTTCATAGGCGTTTGAGAAGCATTAAAAAAACTTCCCAAACGCCTGTCTGACACCTGCTGACTGACAAAGCTAGTGTGAACGTAGCCTCATAGCTCATAGTAAAAAAAATAGATCACCCTACTCTGTTAGCAGTTTGGTTCCAATCGTGGCTCAGTGAACAGTAACTGTGAACTGTTTACTATTCCAGCAGCAAAAATATACATTGTGCAGAGGAAAAACAGTAATTAGGACCTAGCTGAACTGTATTGGAGAGCAGGGTATCAGCTTGTAACCTATTATAAACCACAAGAATGGGGTACAGTTGGTAACATGAAGTATAGATTGTTCCATGCCACCCCAGGCAGACCTGCCAACTTATGCCCAATTCAAAATGGGTCAGCAATGGCAGATCACATTTATTTATTTCAGGTACCTATATAGTGCTGTCAATTTACACAGCGCTTTACATATATATTGTACATTCACATCAGTCCCTAACCCTCAAGGGGCGTACAATCTAAGGTCCCTAACTTACATTCATACATACACATACTGGGGCCAATTTTAGACAGGAGTCGATTAACCTACCAGCATGTCTTTGAAGTGTCCGAGGAAACCGGAGTACCCAGAGGAAACACACTCAGGCACAGGGAGAACATGCAAACTCCAGGCAGGTGTTGACGTGGTTGGGATTGGAACCAACGACCCAAATACTGCCAGGCAGAAGTGCTTATAAAGTAAGATACAGTCAGAATACAAGGTAATGTCTGCCTTCATTTTGAAAAGCGATATGCAAACTCTTGGCACTATATAAATTCTGTATAATAATAATATTATTACAAAAAAAAAAGTAGTACACATAGTAATAGCCCTTTGTTGTGAGTATAGCTTTAAGTGGTGGGTATGACTTATAAAATATACATTAGCAATCACTATAGAATATAGGGAAAACTTTTTTTGTTTTTCATTTTGGATAGAGCGCGGGTTATAACCCCTGCCAGATTTTTTTTTCACCATCTCTGTCCTATTTTGGGGATTTCCCTTTACTTCCTGTCCCATAGTCAAACAGGAAGTGAGAGAAAATCTTTGCAAACTAAGAAAATCCCTTGGGGACCCCCAGGTCACAAGAACAAGTGCCAGTGGAAACAGAAACAACCCCTCTTGCGCTCTAGGACCCAAAGCAAGGGTGGATGGATGGAAAAGGAATTTGTGGAAATTCGAACACCAATGCATTAAGGTTGCACGGCTCTAAACCAGGCTGGGGAAGCCCGACCAGTACTGCAAAGTCAAACAAAAAGAAAGTGCACCAACCTTGCGCATTACCTCAGTAAAATGTGAATTTGTTAAATTGAGATATATACTCACAAACAAAGAAGTAAAACAAGCGTATAGGATCCTCAAAGTATGGCTGACATGTTTCGAAGGGCTCTGATGAAGAAGGGACCCTCTTTGAAACGCGTCAGTCATACTTTGAGAGTCTTCCCTCGTGATATGACTTGCACTGGTTTTGCACTTCTAATGTTCCTTTGAGGATCCTATACACTTGTGTTACTTCTTTGTTTGTGAGCATATATCTCAATTTAATAAATGCACATTTTACTGAGGTAATGCGCAAGGTTGGTGCACTTTTTTTTTGTTTCACTTTGCATCACAAGAACTAGTGTCCCAATTGAAAGATGTCCCCTCCAGGGGCGGACTGACCATTTGAAAACTCGGGCACTGCCCGAGGGCCCGGGGTCAGTAGGGGGCCCCATGAGATGCCCCTGGTACCTTTTTCATAGGCTTTTTTGAGTTTGGGCAAGGACACAGGGGCCGCATGATCCCATATTGCCCGGGGGCCCCTTGATTTGTCAGTCCACCCCTGGTCCCCTCTATTACTTTTCTGGGGATAACCCAAAATTTGGGATTTTCTTTTACTTTCACTTTCAATGATCATGGTAAACAGGACAAATAGGGTGAATCTCCCTAACGAGGACAGAGACAACAAATAAAAGGAATAGGTGCTCTAATCCTTCGCCACTCTATCCAAAACTAAAAAAAGTTTTGCCTTTAGTTATACTTTAAACTCCAAATTTTACTTTTATCACATGAAAGAACATTTTATTACACACATTGCAAAGTATTTACAGTTCTGTTCTTTGAAACTGCTGGAATATATTACATTTGAACATGTCTACTGTGTTGGAGGGTTGTCCTCAGCTGTTGTTTATTCCATTGTCACAGGCAAACAGTGAAGCAATAATGTACATACAGTGGGGATCAAAAGTTTGGGCACCCTAGCTAAAAATTTGTATTAATGCGCATAAAGAAGCCAAGGAAAGATGGAAAAATCTCCAAAAGGCATCAAATTACAGATTAGACATTCTTATAATATGTCAACAAAAGTTAGATTTTATTTCCATCATTTACACTTTCAAAATAACAGAAAACAAAAAAAATGGCGTCTGCAAAAGTTTGGGCACCCTGCAGAATTTATAGCATGCACTGCCCCCTTTGCCAAGCTGAGACCTGCCAGTGTCATGGATTGTTCTCAATCATCGTCTGGGAAGACCAGGTGATGTCAATCTCAAAGGTTTTAAATGCCCAGACTCATTTGACCTTGCCCCAACAATCAGCACCATGGGTTCTTCTAAGCAGTTGTCTAGAAAACTGAAACTGAAAATAGTTGACGCTCACAAAGCTGGAGAAGGCTATAAGAAGATAGCAAAGCGTTTTCAGATGTCAATATCCTCTGTTCGGAATGTAATTAAGAAATGGCAGTCATCAGGAACAGTGGAAGTTAAAGCAACATCTGGAAGACCAAGAAAAATAGCAGACACAACAGCTCGCAGGATTGTGAGAAAAACAATTCAAAACCCACGTTTGACTGCACGATCCCTCCAGAAAGATCTGGCAGACACTGGAGTTGTGGTACACTATTCCACTATAAAGAGATACTTGTACAAATATAGTCTTCATGGAAGAGTCATCAGAAGAAAACCTCTTCTACGTCCTCACCACAAAAATCATCGTTTGAACTTTGCAAATGAACATATAGACAAGCCTGATGCATTTTGGAAACAAGTTCTGTGGACCGATGAGGTTAAAATTGAACTTTTTGGCTGGAATGAGCAAAGGTATGTTTGAAGAAGAAGGGGCACAGAATTTAATGAAAAGAACCTCTGTCCAACTGTTAAGCATGGGGTTGGATCAATCATGCTTTGGGGTTGTGTTGCAGCCAGTGGCACAGGGAACATCTCACGAGTAGAAGGAAAAATTGGATTCAATAAAATTTCAGCAAATTGTGGATGGTAACTTGATGCCATCTGTGAAAAAGCTGAAGTTAAAGAGAGGATGGCTTCTACAAATGGATAATGATCCTAAACACACCTCGAAATCCACGGGGGATTACATCAAAAGGTGTAAACTGAAGGTTTTGCCATGGCCTTCAAAATCTCCTGACCTCAACATAATTGAAAATCTATGGATAGACCTTAAAAGAGCAGTGCGTGACAGACAGCCCAGAAATCTCAAAGAACTGGAAGACTTTTGTAAGGAAGAATGGGCAAAGATACCTCAAACAAGAATTGAAAGACTCTTGGCTGGCTACAAAAAGCGTTTACAAGCTGTGATACTTGCCAAAGGGGGCAGTACAAGATATTAACTCTGCAGGGTGCCCAAACTTTTGCAGACGCCATTTTTTTGTTTTCTGTTATTTTGGAAGTGTAAATTATGGAAATAAAATCTAACTTTTGTTGACATATTATAAGAATGTCTAATCTGTAATTTGATGCCTTTTAGAGATTTTTCCATCTTTCCTTGGCTTCTTTATGCACATTAATACAAATTTTTAGCTGGGGTGCCCAAACTTTCTATCCCCACTGTAGCTGCTAATGGTAACACATCATTGAGGGCTTCAGAGTGTTTATTGGAAAATACTTTTTATTTTCTCAGGTAGGTCTTGTTCACATTTTTCAAGAA